CTCATTCTGCTATGCTTATGTCAGAGTGAACTACGAGATCTGTTTAATCGGGGATGTTGAGTCTGTGTCAGGGCATTGATTAGGTATTTAGAAAACACAAGCAAAAAGAGCATACTGAGCAGCAGAAGTTGGGGAAGAAGAAGTGACAGGTAGAACATTAATTTTTCTACAAGTCTTCTGGGAAGTAGCAAGATAGTGCTGATGTAGTCCTCTGTATGGAGGGACATCAGGCAATTAACAGCACTGGGAAGCCAAACAGAATGGGTGAAATGTCTTGTACAATTGTGGGAGAATTGGAAGGAAAATCAGGAATGAGGTGCTTATTATCTATATCTGAAAGCTTGTTCTTCACCAGAGAGAACTTGCAACTTGTTGTTTGTACAGCTTTAACTCTGCTTTGTTTTGTGGTTTTTGTGAGGTTTGTTTGTTTGTTTTGTTTGGTTGGGTTTTTTTCCAATTAGGTAAATGTCTGTGCTAAGAAACCTAGGTTTTACTCTCGGATATCTGGGGAATAAGATGTTTGTGTACTGAAGGGGTCAGTCTTTCCCCATTTCTTCCCTCAGGCAGCCCTGTGTTGAATTACTTCATTTTAGGTGGTGGTTGATCCAGGAATTGAGTTATATTAACATGGTTATTTGTTTAAATATGTATTTTGTCAGCCTCATCAGGGAAATTGTGTTATGCAAAGTAAAGATAGCAGCCTCAGGTCCCACTGCAGCTTCATTTCAATTGGAACTGATTGGCTGACAAGTTCGAAGTGAAACTGCGTGCCTGAAATTGTATGCATGCACCTTATCTGACCAAAGGTAATGGTATATGCAAATTATTTTGGGCTTCAGTGGTCTGTGGGTGCTAAGAAGAAACGATTAAGAAAGGAAAATTTTTAAACAGCTCAGGTAATCATGAGAATAGGAGGCTAGTACTCTGTGAAGGTTTTGCACAGCAAGCCTGTCAAGGGGAGGCTGGAGTCACTCAGCTGGTTTTCCTGTGAGCCATCTCTGACTTCAGTGACTGCCTGAGTGTCAAACAGACAAGACAAAGCTTAAAACAAAAAGCTCAAATAGGGCTGCACATAAATATGTGCACAGACACATGTATACACTCATGCACACACACGTTTTCATCATAGCATGAGAATTACGAAGGGCACGCTGGTGTTAACAAAACCAGGGTGACTAAAGGTGCAAGTCAACATCTTTCCACTTTGAACCCTGGATAAATCGATAGCTGAAATGCTGACTACCACTATTTTGCAAGTCTTGCTGTTTTGGGCTGTGTAAAGACACGGGCACCTACTGACTACCTAATAAACGTGCTGCCATTTTTCCATGTAACAAGGAACATCACCAGTTTAGTGTGGCAGGCAGGAAGGAAGAGGACCTGTGCCATTACCGGTAAATCTGCAGTAGGTTGAATGGATGCCTTTGGGGACCGGCGTGGCTTGTGGAGCTCATTTAATTAGTCTAGATGTAGACGACCATGCAAGGATTGATACTGGGGAGGGTGCATCTGAGGCAGTGTGCTGTCCATCTTTATTACAGCAAAAGATATTAATTACTGGCATAGCTGTTTGCCTTCAGAGATCTTACGAAGCTGAATGATGCTTGCTGCTGATGGCACTGACAGACACCCAGCTATTTATCTGGCTTCATTAAATTGTACTATTCATTTAGATCTCTGAGTTGCTGCAGGACTGTGCATGGTTTAGACTTATTGTATTTTCTGTCTTTTTGTGCTTGTTTTTTGCTATTCACGTGAATGCTTCTGTGTTGAAAGAATCTGGTTTGCAGCTTTTTCCTCCCTTTTGTTTTGAATGTGTCATCATAGGTTGGTTGCTTTCAGAGTGCTGTGGTTTTCACAGTCTCTGTATTTGCTGAGACAAGGTGGTCAAACTGTATTTCGTGGTCAAACACATAGCCAGTGAAGGTAGCAATGAAGGTTATGGAGGCTTTCTGGTAAAGTTTGCGCATGAGAATTGATTGACTTGTTGATTGTATGGCAGCATGTATTTTTAGTCGGGATGAGGTCTTTCAGACGGTCGCCTTTAAGGTGTCTCTCATTTCTGTATGAGTGCAAACCACAGCAAGCAGTTATTATGGATATGAGTGTGAGTCAGCTGACATTTGTTTCATTTTAAGGCTCTTGGATTCACGCTCTTCTGTGATCCTGTACTTGCTGAGTTGTCCAAGGCCTTGCTTAACAATTAGAGAGACAGCCTGCTCTCCTCCCCACAAGTTCTGTAAGTTTTGTTGCTCATCCTGGGTGTCAGCTCTGCCCTATGTGCCGTTTTCCTTGTTGAAATAGAGGCGGTGATTTGGGGAAAAACAGGAGGCAGCAAAGACAGGTCCAATCAGTAATTTGCTGCTGAAGTTGCAGCTTTGGTGTGGTGCATGTATTCCAAAGGGAAACTTCACCCTAATTTAGGGTCTGTTAGTCTGGGAAATCAGGTTCTGTGAACTCCATAAATAAATTTACTTTCTGAGGTGACTGCTCAGCTGGCAGGGATGTGTTGGAACCACGGCCTTCTCTAGAGACTTGCGGGAGTTTGGCTTCTTCACATATGCTCCTTTGGCATATCTAGAAGTGCTTTGCACTATTTGCTGTAGCTTCATTTGGTTAGTTGTGCACACACTCAGGCAAAACTGGAAGCTGAGCAGGATGCATGGCACTGCTTTGGGTTGCTGTGTGGCATTGCACTGGTTTACATAAATCTTGTTTCCATGGGGAAAACTCTGATACTGCAGGTAACTGTAATGTAGTTCTTTGTTGTAGACATTGTGAGAGCCGACTTGTAACTTTCCGAAACAGGAGGTGAGGAGAACAGTCTGAGAAAGAGTTAAGGGATGGGTGGGTTTGGAGGCCCTCTGAGCTGAGGAATGCCTGAAACACTCACAAGTAACGAAACTATAGTCGTGGAGTGAATAATGTAGAGTCGAGCTGATAGGGCAGACTGGTTAGCACGGGATGCAGCTGGAAGACAAAGTCTTGTGAAGGCAAGATGGCTCTACTCTGGTGCATCTTGTAAAGGTTCAGGGTCCATCTGTCTGGTGAATGACCTTTCCTTCATTACCCATGAAATGCATATTAAAATTGACACCCCTGAATAAGCACCTTACCCCTCCCCATACTTGTAATACCTGGGTATGTGGGTCGACCGAGGGGACAGACCCAAGGAAAGTGTGTATAAACTGAGGGGGGGGCGAGATGTGAGGAGGCAAGCAAGTGAGCAAGCAGTAGATAGAAAGAAGCAAGCAAGCAAGACGGATGCATCCCTGACGAACTCGGACGGGACCAACGCAGGACCCTGGACCGGTGATCTCTACTTCTCTATTCTCTCTCTCCTTTTCTTTTCCTCTATTCACTTATTATCCTTAAGTAATGCAAGGCATCCTATATCACTTGCCATAATTTGTAATATACTTAGCCAGTTATCATGTATCCAATTAGTACATTGTGGAAAATTAATAAATGTTTGTGCATGAACTTTGAAACTTGTCTCACGGTTGTCGGCTCTGTCAGGGATTTACGAATCTAAGTTAGTTGTCTCCTTCGTCTGAGCGGGACGTGACAGACATCCTCATGGTTTTGATGATAAAGCCATATGCCTTACCAAACCCAAATAAGAGCTTTTGCCGTCTTGGAGTATTTTTGCAGAGGGCCAGAGGAGCTGTTGTACAGTCATGCAAGTCAATCTCCAGCAGTAAATCTTCCTTTGCTGACCTGCAGTTACACCTTTTCCCTGGATCTTTTTTGCTGTGAAAAATCCTCTGATGGTGCTAACCTCCACTGTTGCACTTGTGGCATGGAAAAAAAATAAATTTACCCACAAGTGTTCGTAGTGATCAGACAGTAGTTGAAACCATAGGATTTTTTTTTTTTTTTTTAACAAAATAGCTATTCTATCTGAGAATTCTCTGTTCAGGAAGGAAATGGTTAGCATGCAAGAATACTTTAAATATTTCTCTTCACCTTATTTCAAGCCATATCATTCACTAGGGATCTAAGCTAGCAGTATTTAAAGGTTTCCTGGTGAAAATCCCATAAAGGAGTGTATACATAATATCAAAGAAAAGGTCACTTCTGAAATGTTACCTATTTTCACCTCTCAGGCTGCATTGTGTGCACTTGTTATTATTGAAGGTAAGAAAATGTATTTCATTCTTAATAATTCCCTAGTAACACCATGCTTTTTTGTTAAACTGGAATAGAAAATCTGATTTGGTGTGGATGTGTTCTTAGAGGTTTATGCTGCTGGGTTTATTAGCTGCAGGACCCGGACAATGTTTGAGTGTTGGGTTGAAAGAGAATTATGTTCCCGAAGTGTTTTAACTTGCTGCACTTTCTGTTGTAAGTAGCTTCTGCTTGAAATGAATTCCACTGGGAAATAAAAGACCTCAGCTAATGGAATTTAGTATATTTGGAATATGAAAAAGCCAAGCAATTAAAAATAGAATATTAATTAATTAAGCTTACATCTTCTTCTTAAAGATTTAATGTTTGAAGGAGTGCTGTAATAAACTCTAGCAAGAGAATACTAATAAATATAATTTGACAGAGTTGGCTTATTAGATATTATTAATTGAGTACGAGTTGTGAGTTGTGTCTTCGTATTTACGAAGAATAAAAATAGCTGATTCATTAGCCGTCAGGAATACTTTTTAACATGTATCAGGTTATGCCATTTGTGGCTTTATTTCATCAAAAATATCTTACTGGAGTTTAAAGAAACTTTCACTTAAGCTTTATGAAACTGCCAAGGAGGAAGACTAGTACGAAAGCATCTGTGCATAATCTATGGCACTTGGACAAGCCAGGGCTTAGTGATTAGTTTGAGATCATACATTTCAGTAGCTGTATTTGGAAGTGAATCCCAGTTTTCACTCTTAAATCCCAGCTCCCAGGTGATGTTCTCAAACCTGTGTCATCACCAGAGCTTCAGTCTGATGTCTGTAATTATGTTGAACTGTTTGGTAATGACTTTTTTCTGTTTGCGCTGTGCTTTCAGCTCACAGTGATGTGACAATAGATGGGAGAGTGTGTGCGACTTTCTTTTGACCTTGACTACCCCCAGCTGGAGCAACCTCTTCGGATCAGCTGGTACAAGGGAAATGCATCCTTGGGGCACTGGATGCATGGCAACCCCGGGCACGGCCAGCGCATTCGTCTCTTTCCTAATGGGACGCTGGGGCTCCACCTGGCCGGGAGAGAGGATGCAGGACAATACACAGCCACGGTGTGCCACAGCTCTCAGCATTGTTTCTACCAAAGAAAATTTCAGCTATGTGTGCATGGTGGGTGTAAATTCTCACTTTAAAGTCCTTGTTTTTCTGTGTCGGGCTGCCTAGATCAGACACTTGTTTATGTTACGATGTTTAGATTATGTATTCACGGTTGACAGTTTCTGCCTTTGTTTTTGAGTTCATGTGATAATCTTGATGAGAACACTTGCATGCTATATTTTTGATTAAAGGTTTCTTATGCTTGCAATTAGCCTCGACACTTGAGCTACAAGTCTAAAAACAAGATGTTGCAGTTAGACTTCTAAACCCAACCATTTAAGCTCTCAAATGTGCTGAGCTCTTATTGAGCTTCCTTGTTTAGTCCTTGGTTGCTAATTTTAGACTCTGTTTCAAATAATTGTTTTTTCTTTCTCTTTATCCAGTGCTTGAATTTACTAGCTAGAAAAATAAGATCTTTATTTTGAAATATATGTCAACACAGCTATTGAGATCAACACAGTCCAGCAAGGTTTACTGAAAGCTGCCTTAGCCTTCAGGAAGTCTGACCCACGGTGGAATAATGTGGTGATTTAGGGACCTACAAAATGCTGATCAGGATTTTCCTCCCTATTCTGAGAATTCTGGCCCTTGAGATGTTAGTTCTTCAGGGGTACCATGGCACAGATTAGAGTTGTGCGTTGTTCTGCCTGCCTGCTTTCCTCACTCTCAACATCACGCTCTGTGGTTTCAGGGCTGCCAGAGAGCCCACAAATACTTGTTCTCTCTTCCCAGTAACCCCCTGTCTTGCCTGTTGCCTTTCACTCTAGTTCCTGTATTTCGCAGCCAGGAGTAGAGGATGAGAATGAGTTTCTTCCTCACACTGCTCCCTTGATATTGTCAGTACCCAGCAAAGCACTCTGGCTGCCCTGTCCTCCTGACAGCCCTGGACGTTGAAGGCAATTTCACCTTTTGTGCCTCAGTGGCTTGAACTTGCGACCTCTGACTTGAGCCAGAGCAATACAAGAACGTGGAATAGAAAATGGGTTCTGATGACACTGCTGTTTGAGGTGACTCGGTTTTTGTGCTTTTTAGTTAGTTCCCTTCCTCTGTTTCCTGGAGGTAGGAACCAGAGAAATTTTTTTACTTCTTGTCCATTGGATGGGTAGACAGAAGAGGCAAACAGGAGGCATTTTTAGGCTGTTTGAGATGTGTCGTATCTTATTTTGAAATAGTTAGGCAACTGAACTATGTTATAGCAGGTGGTTTCAATGTAGGGAATCTTTGCCCAGAAGCAGTTAGCTTTTTATAAGCAAGCAATTATCATTTGTATGGGAGTTATTTTCATTCAGACTACAGTAATTTTGTAACTCAGACATGCCAAATTCAACTTATGACAAAAGGCATAGGGTTTGTTTCCACTTCTCACATAGCAGCTGTTGCAAATGTCAGGATCCAATTTTGTAGGGAAACTGTTAAAATTTACTATTTGGGTTTTGGACAGTATCAAAGACAATATTCTAGATGTGTCCCTAGGTATTAATATATATGGCGGATGCTGATTCATAATAGACTCTTGCTGTGTCTTGTGACCTCCCAGTAGGATTCTCCCTTCCTAAATCAAATCCAAGTAAAATGTTTCCTCAGCATGACAAGGAAATGGACCTTCTCATGGTTCTCAGGGAACTGGTCAGGGACTTAATTTGTTATCTGCTGACTTCTTAAAAGCAACCTCTGGCTGTGTGCAGGTTCCCAGTAGATAACTTGTAAGCCTGTGTGGAAATGCTTTCAAGGTAGTAAGAGATTTCAAAAAGCAAATATATATATGATGTCCTGTACATCCCTTAAGTAAATATGCATGTGCTCTCTTTCAACAGGGCACCTTGTCAGAGGGCTTGTAGGTGACTGTGTTACTTTTGATCTGAACTGCCTGGAACCAACCAAGTACATCGAAGTCAGGTGGAAGAAAGACAACAAGCGTGTGGCAGAAAACCAGACAGAAGATGTCGTTCTGACCTACTTCAACAGAGCCCGTGTGTTCCCCAATGGCAGCTTGAGCTGTTGCCCCACATAATGGGGGGATGAGGGAGAGTATGTGGCAGATGTATTCAATCAGGATGGCATGCATTTGCACCAGGAAACTTTTAATCTGGAACTGAACAGTAAGTCTGAGTGTGCTATTCATGTGTGATGATGTATTTTCAGCAGGTGACCTTGCACGCATTTTGTCTTTGGGGTCTCTTCCCAAACGGTGTATTTTGTAGAGGAATGAAATATCCAGAGAAACATTCCTCCATTTCTTCCCTTCCGTTCTCTGAGTGTAGCTGTGTTGTAGGACATATATCTAGAAGTGTAGTTTGGCTGGGGATGGCAGAGCAAGGAGAGGCACTCATTTGTATGGTAAATCCCCAAAACAGCACTTGAATGGTGTATGTTACTCTGTCAGGTTTGCTTGTTCAGGGCTTGTGTTTGAAGGTTTCTGGCTTCTGAATTCTAACAAGACAGTGAGTCAAGAGTGGTCCACTTCCCCCCTGAGCGAGGCCATGCTTAAGGTTAACTTGCCAGCACAGATCGAAATAGAAGTGTAGGAAAACCCTGTAAAACTCAGAATCGGGAGAGGGCACTACCAGGGTTCAGACTTCTGTGGTTTGCCTAATGCAATCCAACTCAAATTGCCCTTTGTAACAAGAACCCAGGCTTCAATCCACCCTTGTTACTCCTGTGTCATCTAATAGTTTGCATAGGTGGGAGAGGGTCTCCATATGTCTGCAATGACTGTTCAGGGCAATTGTGTGCCTGAGAGTGGTTCTTGTGCTGCTAAAGCAGTCTTTTACAAGTTAATTTGGGGAAGTCCTGCTGCATTTCAAGAATCCTCCAAAGTGCAACGGTCCGCAAGAAAACCTGGCTCTTGGGTGTGATGTAAAACCAAACCCTGAACAAAGCCATGAACAGTTCCATGTCCAGTTTTCTGAAGGGGTGCTCTAGCTCCAAATCAGTGTGTGTCCTTCCTCAAGATCCCTTTGCTCTTTTTAGCACATGCAATGCCCTCCTTCATTTTCCACCTTTATCAGTTGTTGGGAGGAGGCTGGGAGCGGGTGTGGTTTGAGGGTGCAGGCGGGGTATGGTTTCAAGCTGGCATAGAGCAATTTACTCACAGGCACAGGGTTAACACCTGTGGTAGCACCGACCCCTTGCCCACGCAGACCCAGCGGTCAGTGTGGGCTAAGTGGTGCCCACCTACCCAAGGGGTTTTGCAGCTCACCTTAAGCTCTGCTGCCGCAACATTCTGGGGGTGGTATTTTACCACAGCCTGAGGTATGTACGTGAGCTGCAGTAAGAGCAGAGACCGTAATAGAGGTTCAAAGTGTGAAGGGGTTGCCTTCAATTTACACAAGTCTTGTGTAGACAGGACCAATGAATGATTTAGGGCTGGGTGGAGTCCCATTAACCTATAGCTTGCCCATCTCGTCGTAATGAGAAAAATCTGTGTAAGTACATAGAATAGAAGGAACTTTAGTAAAAGGAAAAAAAAGCTACTGTCTTCTTATAAGTTAAGACAGTAAAGCACTCTTACAGTGACTCTTTCTGTATTGGTTTCAGGCTGATATTTCAAATAACTATTGCAAAGGAAGAACACTTCCAATTAACAAGAGATACAAGGAATATTCCTACTTGTGGTCACTCTCTGTGGAATGTAAATTATCCCAATAATGAGCAAATATGCTTTTTTCCCCTCAGGAGTGGAAACATTTAAAGAAATCACAGAACACATTAGTAGATCCATGTTCTTGAATCTAACAGAGACAAAGCTGAAACAGTTCTTCCAGGTAGTCTGGAAAAAAGGAGACACAGAAATTGCTTGGACAAATGGTTCTTGGTTTTGGTACCATGAGGAATATGTTGACAGATCTGAGATTGTGTCTAATTACAGTCTCAGACTAGACAGGATTCAGGAACATGACCATGGCAGATATTCTATAGAAGTGAATGACGGAGATGGGAGAACTGTATATGAAGGCATTGCTAGTGTGAGTGTTGGTGAGTATCATTTAAAAATGCTGTCAGTTAAGCAAAGGTTTGTTTTGTTTTGTTTTGTTTTTTTTTTAATCTAGATTCAATACATAAACCCAGATGAATTGTGTAAGAGACTGCCCCAAATGCACTAGCACTTAGCTAATCAACAGAGGGATGAATCAAAGACTAGCTAGGGTAAGCCTTGTTGAGTAAAGCTGGGCGTTCTTTTGCCAGTATGACTGTTCCAGCCAAATACCTAGGCTGGTATAAAGCATCATTTTGTTTCTAGTTTGTTACTCCAGTATATTTTGGAAATAGTATGAGCTGTGACAGAAAAATTACTTTTTTTTTTTTTTTTTTTTTTACCTGGTAAATGCTATATCCTTAGTTCAGATGATTGCTGGTTTAGATGTATCAGAAGAACTTTCTAGTCAACTCGAGTTTGAGTATCCCCCAAATTGGGAAAAGATCCACTTTCACATCTGCAAGCATGCCTACAATTCTAGTTTGCTAAATTTCACAGTGTAAGAGGTTTAACTAGTGTAGTTACATCAATGCAACTTTTTGGTTTGGGCTAAAATTAGCCTTTCTACTGGCCACACGCTTGAGAGAGGAAGAACAATTACTCTAAAAATTATTTTAGATTTCCTGCTTGCCTCTTCTTTTAAGAAGTGATATTTTAGCTTCCCAGTGAAATGACTTGAGCACTGCTTCAATCTGTGTGTGTTTCCTTGGAGCATGAGGCTGATGAACTGTTTGTACTTTTCTGTGATTCAGAAACTGAACCAGAGTGATACAGACTCACAAGTATACCTGAGTATCACGCAGCGATACTAAAATGCCCAGCATGTGAATATATCTCACTAGGTATTCTTACCACACCTTACCGGTTTCTGAGTTGGTGGTGTGAGGAAGAAAGAACAGGCTGTTGGCTGAAGTCTGTCCCACTGTCATGGGTTACAGGCTCCCGAACGTGCTTTGTGAAAAGAGGCCCTTTGGTTGTAAAATCCTGAGAGAAAATAAAGAAGGTAACCTTTAAGTTTAGAAGTCTGCTTTCTGACAATAATGCACTTAGAGGATGTTACAAAAATAAAGGTCAATAAAGCTAACATAGCACAGCAGGGTGAAGGTACAGGGTTTTTTACAACTGAATTTTCCTTGTAGAGCAAAAGGAGACGTTTGGAAGAAATGGTGTTTCTCTACTGTTCTATATTCTCATGGTATCACTAGGAGTTGTAGTTACTGTCTTGGTTGTGCTGATACGGCATTTTCAGAAGCAGAAAGATGAGTCCGGTAAGACACCCTATTCAACACTTTCAGAATTCAGAATCCCAGCGTAAATAGCCGTTCACGTGTAGATGCAGTTCTCTGCCTTTCAGGGAACACCTGGCAGAGCAGTTTCTGCTGAGGGTGAGGTTGGGCCCGGCAGGCTGCAGCTGTACAGGGCTGCCAGCGCGGGTGGGGGCACGCGCGGGTGGGGGCTCGCGCGGGTGGGGGCACGCGCGGGTGGGGGCACGCGCGGGTGGGGGCACGCGCGGGTGGGGGCACGCGGCGCTGCAGGACTGGCTGCCTGAGCCTTTTCCACGCTGATGGAAGGACTCCCAGCCCTGCCCGCTGCCAAGGTCCTGTGCTGGGAGTGTCCGAGCCGGTCCCGTGTCTCTGCAGGGTGGACTTGTGGCAAAGCCTTAGGAGCTCTCAGCAGCCGCCGTTCTCCTCTTCGCGTGCTCTGCTGAGAGATGGTTTTGTCACCTGGAGGTGGGCCGCTGGCTGGTGAGACAGGGCCCCGTATCTCTGCCTGGTGGGGCTCATCTGCGTTCGGCCGCCTTTGGGAGCACGGCGTTGGTGCGTGCAGGCAGGGAGGGGGACCCCCGTTTACTCCTGGGTCGGTGACTCTGGCCTGAATGTGCTGTGACCTCCCCAGCGCCGACACCGTGTCACCGGGGGAGCGTTGAGCTGGGCTCGACCAGGGCAGCGCTGTGCAGCGCGCACGAAGCTGCGCTGCTGCTCAGGAGCTCCCCGTTAGCTCCCAGGCTGTGTGAGATTTTAATACAGATTGAAGATCTCCTGGTTTGCCAATTTCACGTAGCTCACACCCAAATGGGGGCAAGCTGGGAATGAGAATCCTGGGTCCTTGCAGCAATGCATAAGGTGAGGAGAGGGTGCGTCTGTGTGGCCTGGAGGAGGGAAGATGATGATCTGCTCTGACAAGAAGCTGTTATTGCCTGGAGGCACTTTGCAGTTCAAATGCAAAGTTGGGCCAGCAGATAGCTAATGGAGACAAAATGTAGTTTGTCCCATATGGTAGGAAGGAGTGGGTTGTGATTTGGAAGGCTTTAAGCTAAACTGAGGAGAAGAAAGGTCAGAGAGAAAAGAGAATTGGGAGGATGGTGCATTCTTGGGGGGTTTTGTGTGCATGAAGAGACTGAAAAATACAAGATCATCAGCGCGTAGAATATCCTCCACGGTTCAGAGTGGTGATACACGCTTAAGTCAAAGCCATTATCTTTAGTCATGTGCTCCTGAGCCTTACTTTTCTTTAGTAAAGGGTGAGCTATAGGGAGTTGGGCAACATGCTGGGTATGAATTCTTCCACCTCTTCCTGCAAATGTTTCAAGTGTGTTTGTCTGCTTTTTACTTGACTTGGCTTAAGTTTGGATCACAGTACCAAGCATTCGACATGCAAGTTTGATCCTTACAGATGAGAGGGACAAACCTGAGGAACATGAAGAAAGGGATGAAAACAGCCCTTGTTTTCGTGAGTATCCATCACTATGTGGCTCCCTATTGGTCACAGAGAGGGAGCCAAGAGTGTGATTCATCTGAGTGTGGTTTACTAAGGCCTGATTATCTTATTTAAACTGATTATTGTAATCAAGGGGATAATTTTTTAGCAAACAAATACCTGAAATTTCAAAAATCCATTACTTGAAGTACTTGGAGCTGCTGACAGCACTAATCCCAGGGTAATCACACACGCGCTGGACTGGGACTGTCCAGCCAATGAGCCTTCTGCAGTCTCAGGTCCTTCCCAGCCTAGTGGGCTGCATCCTCCTCAGCTGTGTGCAGAGACTTACGGTTCCTGTTAGCTACTCACTGGCTGGTGCTTTCCCTTCTTCTTCCAGTTGCCCTGCACATACAGGGTATGCAGGAATTTAATATAGTCTGAAAAGGCCATCTTTATTTGCCGTTTTGGCCTCAGCCAGCGCTACCTCGTTAAAGAGTGTCATGACTTTTCAACCTGCCGTTAAGGTCTAGGTAGCATGCTGAAGCCGTGTTTCCAGCTTTGATCCCATAAAACACTGCTTTTCAGCCTCTTTCAATTCGTGGACCCCTACATTTTTTTTTTTTTTTTTTTCAGTGGAGTTCTGGTTCATGTGCAACAAATTTCAGGCTGCTGACAAGATGGCTATTTTTAATAAATGCCTTAGTCTGTGTTTGCTAAGCACTTCTAGTAAGCAATACAAAGTTAGATGAGCTGCCTTTTTTTTTTTTTTTAATCAAAGATTATGTCTGTGCTCCTTAAAATAAGCTTCTTAAAGCTCTTGAATCCTCTAATTTGCTGCAGGTACCAGTGGTTGCAGTTTCTTGTGTCTGGTAGCAAAGCTTCAGCAAAAGGCACAAAGTGGTTTTTTGCTGCTTTTTCAAGTCTTTTGACTTTCACATTAGGTTATCCATGGTGCTAGAGTGTGATAAGGTGGGGAATCCCTGTCATAACCACCTGCAATCTTGTGGTTGTAAAGCTGTTATGGTGACTTCTGTCTTCAATCTGTACTGTGTTGAAAGATTTTCTTAAATGACCCTGGCATCACCCTCCTTGTAACCACAGCAGATGTAAGGCTAAGACACTGTTAAGTGCAAAATGCAGGAAATTTTAACCTATTGTCATGGTTTCAGCTCAGAGGGCAACTGAGCACCATGGCAGCTGCTCACTTCCCCCCTCCCCCCCCCCAGTGCTAAGAAGGAGAAAATAAGTCAAGGCTTGGGATTCAAGATAGGACAGGGAAGAATGAGTCACCCATTACAGTCACGGGCAAAAGACAGATGTGTTAGGGGAAGAAGAACCTATAAATTTAATACAGACACTAACAACACTTAACCAGAGTAGGACAGTGAGAAGCATTGCCACATCTTGAGAACACTTTCCCCCCACCCCTCCCTTCTTCCCAGGCTCATCTTTTCTCCTGATATCTCTGCCTCCTCCCCTCAGCAGCACAGGGGCAGGGAATGAGGGGGGGGTGGGTGCAGTCAGTGCTGCTGCTTCTTCCATCTTCAGTGGGGGGAACTTCTGGAACATTTCCCCCTTGTTCCATGGTGGCCCCCCTCTCACAGGAGACAGTTCTCCACAAACTTTCTCCAACTTGAGTCCTTCTCATGGGATGCAGCGTTTCCCAAGCTGCTGCAGCGTGGGACACCCCTGCATGCTGCAGTCTTCCCAGTGCTGAACTACAACAGTGGGGGCTGCTTCTTTCCAGAGGATCCTGGCTGCCTTTGGGTGCAGATACCTTAATTTTTCTGGTGGGGTCCACCACAGGCCATATATCAGTGTCTGCTCCACTGTAGACCTCCATGGGTGGTGGAGGGGGGCTGCCCTGCTGTCTCACCACAGGATACGGGGAGTGGGGGATGTCTCTGCTCTGGCACATACACCCCCACCTCCCCCTTTCTTCCTCTGTTCTTCCACTGACTTTGGTGTTCATGTAGATGTCACAACTCCTCCTTACAAGTCCCTTAAATACACTATCGCAGAGGTGCAGCTGATGGGCTTGGCCTTGGTGCAGACTTCAAGAAGCTTCTCACAGGAGGCCACCACCGTAGCCCCCTCCCCTGCTACCCAAAACCCCCACCACTCAAACCCAGGACACCTATGAAATCTCTTTCCCTTTGGAAATAATATTTATATGATTAGTGTGAAGATGGCAACACGAGTGAAATTTCCCAAGCTCATCTTCCAAGTTGGGATTTTGTCAAGTCGATTTTCCCTCACCAAAATGAGGCAAGGCAAAGCAAAGAGAAACTGGAAGAGATGAACAAGATGGTGTGGTACTTGAGGAGTGGGTGGGTGGCTGCAGAAAAATCTTGGTTTGCAGGAGCTGAGAATCTCTGCCAGAGACAATTTTGGCTCTCAATTTTGGCAAGCCAGGCCAATGACAGTGTGCTGGGGGCACTGGTGGCAGTTAGATGCTAGCAGCCTCTGAGCAAGACCCAGAGGAAACTGATTGGGCGCTGAAATTCATTTGAGTCATTCAGTAGAGGTGAAAGCAAAAAAGCATGGTTGACCTGCACCAGCCTGTGGCGTGTTGGATCCTAACTTGATTTCTCCCAGCGTTGTCCACTCACAGAAACAGATTTTGCTCTGATTCTAGTGAAACTGGCCAAAGCCTATAGACTGTAGGCACTGTGCTTGCTGTCCTTGATGCAGTCCTTTGGTTAAGTTCTGTTCATGTAGCAGCATGATTGAACTCATATGTCTGAATAGCTCTGTAATAAGGCGTCATGTGTTAAAAAAACCCCAGGGAAATGCAAAGCATTTCACCCTACACGCAGTGGTGCTAAATATAAATTGTGTAGTTTCTAGCAGTTATTCCATATATGGGCTCTTCTTTTTCTCTTGTCATTGTGGGCCAAACTAGGGGAGCTATGTCAGAGAAGCTGTATGTGTTTGGTATGCTTGACCTGCACAGCTGGGATCCTTGTGTTCTTGTTTGTCTCGCCTGGTACTGAGGTGATAGGTGAGTGCCAAGATGAGATGGCAGTGTGTGTGGCACATTGCCTCCTCCATGTCTCTGCTTTTTTGTGGATCTGCCTGGGTCTCTCCCCCAATAGCTGCTCAGTGGCCGTGAAGTTGGAGGTGGATTCATGACGTTCACCCTGAGCTGACTGGTGACAGGGATAGAGAGAGAAACACCCATAGATGAGACTGGAGGAAGAAGAGAAGGTATAAGGGTAATAGCAACTTGTTAATGAGCAGAAGTCTGAGTAAGCTTCGATAATCTTGGTTGGTCTTGTTCAGCATCTGAGAAAGAGCTGGGAGACAGGAGCTTGTGTATGGATTGTGGGATCTGTGACATGCACATGGATTCTTAACTTGTCAGAAATGGAAGCTGAAGAAGACTTCTCTCCAGCTTGTCATTTACGTATTCCAAAGGCATGGGACTGCTCTGCTGTGCATTACAGGGCAGCAAAGAGATGGGCTCTCCCAGAGCTTGAGGCAGGTGGGCACCATGAAATCAAGGTGCTACTGTGAGTTTTTCTACTTGGGTTACTCCGAGCAGAGGGTTTCTGTAGGTTAGATACTCTGCTCCTGGGTACTATGCAGAGTCTCATTGTCTCTGCCCCTTTGGGATCCTCCCTGCCACACACTGTTACTTGAAATGTACGTTTTAGACAGAACAGCAGCATCTGGTTTAGTGGGTCCCAGATAGCTTCAGCATCACGGAGCAAAAGCAAAGGCTGTGGCAGGAAGTGTGAGACAAGGACCCGTGGGGTATGTCTCACCAGACAGGTGTCTGAGGTGTGGCAGACCTGCTGCTGGGAAGTCTCCCGGGTTCCTCTGTGTGCATCAGAGCAGGTATCTGTCCAGGTTTTCCTTTTATCAGCCCAGTTGCTAAGCCCCAGCATCTTGGATGTGCCTTCCATCTCTTGGCAAGAGAAAGCTGAAAATATCCATGGATGCTCTGAAGAAGAGAGTGTGTTCCTGTGGGCCCCTGCCACCAGAGATCTGACAGTCCCCATGGAGGGGAGCTCCAGAAATCCTGTCCCTGACTCTTGCAAGTGTTGGACCCTTCCTTTCCCAGAGGTACTACAGGCTGGAGAAACCACGTGTACCTTGTCCATAATTAGGACTAGAGCCTTTCTGTAGCAGTTCCTGATGTCAGCAGATTTCTGTAACGTGATTTTTATAATTTGTGGCTTACTTCAAAGGACCATATCACAGCAGTAGCATCTCTACTTGAGGCTCTGACATCAGCTGTGTTCGGAGACAGGCTAATGGCCGAGGTGAACTTTTAATCTGACTCATAACAGTCTCTTTTATGGTCTCTTTGTACTGGAAGCTGGAAAAACAGTGTGGCAATGTGTCTCCTTCACGCTTTTTCTCCCTCGCAGTGGCCTCTGAACCTCACATTGTGCAGCTGGTCGGTGGCTGTGGGATGCCACACAGGGCTGGGTGTTGTCTCAGGGCAGAGGAACAGCCCATGGAAGATGGATGGATTGAGCTGAAAGGGGGATCACCTGCAAGTTGCCTCTGAGGCAGAGATAGGAGGAACGAGAACTAAAGTCCAGTTTCCTTCTCTCCTCCTGATTTGCCTTATTCAGCATCCAGGTGAAAGCTGATCAGGAGAAATTCGCTGGGTGCAACTTTCTGTGGAAACCATGGCAACTGGGTGATTTCAGGAGGTGGGGTGAAAGGCCAGTGACACGTGTCTGGCATGTCCACTTTCCTAAGACTTGACACATGGGACCTCTCTGCCCTGGTCTGTGTGGTGGGGAAGAGCCTGTCCCCTGTCAGACACGCCGGCAGCCAGCGTGGTGCCCGTCCATTGAGGTGGGTGGCACTTGTGCTCAGGGTGTGGGTCAGCGCTGAGAACGGGCTGCTGTCAGTAAAATTATGTCTACCCACAGCTGCAACATAGCCTCTTGGTTTCTCTGCCCCTCCAGGACCACATAAACCAGCTGCAGCTGGCTGGAGATCACGGATCAGGCTGACGGGCTCTCTCTGGTGAGCTGGGTCTGGTGTAGCAGCGCTGCCGGGCTGTACCACCAGCGTGTGGAGTACGAGTGCTGCAGGACAGCGTGTGGGACAAGGGCCCATGGAGCAGCTCTTGTGCATTTGGTATTTAGCAGGCCTGGACTTCGGGACTGCCTGGGAAATCCTATGTATGTCCATATTCCTGGTTTTCTGTAGCTGGGAGGCTGAGAGTCTGCAGGTTTATTTCCATTTTTTACAGATCTCTTTGGGGCTGTGGAGTCCCTGACACAAGAGGGCCTTCATCTGTGGCCATCTGTGTCCTGGTCACTCTTCTTACTATGCCAATACAGCCTATTTTGTCCAAAAGGCACTTGCTCTGAACATGATCTACAGGAGTACCCTGATTATGCGTGTCCAATTCCTAAATAAGTTGTGAAGTAGCTATAATTTCACAGCTTTGCTGTTAGAGAAACAAAATGCATGACAGTCTCTTAATCACCACATAAGCATACACCTTTCTGTGCTTATCTTTGCTTGCTATTGCTATTTCTTTGATCAAGAAAGAGTTCAGAGTTCAAGCATAGCTCTCTGGCTAGTTTCATTTCACAAAGAAAGAATTTATATTCTTATGAATATGAATCTTTGTCAGTCTCTCCATCAGTGTCTGGGGTCCTGCTGCACAGAAACTTCTCTCAGGCTTAACCCCCATTCCTGCCTTGTGGCTGTACAGTTAAAATCTCCTGAGAGTCACTCAAAGTGTGTTTAAAAAAAAAAAGAGGTCTCATGCATGAATAGCTGTAGGTGTGGATTGGACAGGTAAGATAATGTGGCTGCAAGACCCTCCCTCCTCCCAGTGCCGCACAGTCCAGCCCGTACCTGCCCTGACCACTGGTGGTGTAGCCATGGCTGTGCTGCTCCACCGCAGGGGGATGGATGGATGGATGGACTGACAGACGGACAGAAGAGCAGACTGCCCACAGCCGTCAGTGTTTCTTGGCCCAGGGCTGGTGCTGGGGCAGGGAGCCCTCAGCAGCTTGCAGAGCCAGCTCTCTGCATTGCTGGAGCCACAGGCTCATCTTCTGTTTCCGCGCGCTGAGTTTCTGGCATTTAGCTCTGCAGCCTCCCTCGGTGTGAGCGAGGCTTGTGTATTTCCCCAGTTAACACACCTCAGCGTTAACAACAGTAAAAATAGGTGCGCTGCTTACACTTACCAGCCTATTGAAAGAAAGATGTGCAGAATTACTGTGTACAAATTTCTTTGTAATACTTCACAGCTTATTTCCTGCTTTACTTGCTAACTCAGGTTTTCCAATCTCCTGTGCTCCATCAATGCCTCATGTCATGTACAGAATGAATCTTCATTGTCCCTTCATGATGCTGTCAGTGGCTGAAAGGACAAAATAGCCCTGTGAGCTTGCAGCTCACCAAGTAGAGGTTTTAGTTGACCTTCCAACTACAAGTTTTTGTCTTTTTTTTTTTTTTTTGTGGTTTTTGTTAAGCCTCACAAGGTGTTTTTTGTCTGCAATAATCACACAAAACTTTATGCATCTTTATATAAAAAGGGGAAGTGAATTCTCTGACTAGCCAAGGGTGTTGTGAGAATTCATTAGCCAGTGTTAGAAATCAGTGTCTAATCTCATCAAAAAATCTGTTATATATGAAATTTGAGAGGGTTGCTCTTACGAGGAGGCTGCTGATTGATAACAACACAGATTGTGCATGTACTGTCATCTTTATCCTGGATGTGATTTTTTTTTATTTTTTATTTTTTTCTTTAAAGCTAGTGAGGATATGAGGGACAGAAGGAGCCTAATGGGACTTCATATACTGTGTGATGTATGGGGCACTTGCAGTCAGAAATATTGAACTCATAAATGTACTCATTTGCCCTGGAGTCACTGAGAGGGAGACTAAAGACAGGACACCGCAATGTCATGGTCATGCAGAGTCACTTCTGTAACAGCAGAGCTACAGTAGAAAGGCTGTATTTTTATTTGATTTTACTGCAAATCTGTAAATGAGCTCCTTGAGGCTGCTGTCACTGGCTGGAGGAGAAGATGAACTTTTGCTGAATTTGGCTGCATGCAGACCTCTTTTGCATTTTGTTGTTCTTCTGAGAGCCTGAACATTTTGGGGTGCTATTTTGAAGCAACCCTGCACATGCTGTCTTTTCTGTCTCGTGTCTCTACCACAGCACTGCAACCCTAAGCTCTACCAGCTTGCCCTTCAAGCATGAAGGTGAAATGAAGTTGAATGTGCACATCTGAAGCAGATGGTTAGTCCCAGTCTTGCAGTGGTGCTTGAGAGAGATTTTCTTCATGTCATTTCATCAGCACAGAAGGAAATGAAAGTGTTTCTTACTGTAAATACTTTTCTCTCCCCCTTCCTCTGCACTGCTGTGGATGTCTGAAGACTCACTTCGCTGCTTTTCTCAGAGAAGGCTATTTCTGTCACATCTTAGATCAATTTAGGCCTGTCCTATGCACATATGATAAAGACAGGATGGTGCTATGGTAACCTTGAATAAACTTGTAAATTTTGGACACTGGGAGCAAGAGGTGAGATGTAATTGTCATTGCTAGGAAGTTGGACCAAACCAGTGGCTGACATGTGGAATTATCAAGCAGAGCCAAATTGTTTGAAAAACAGTGCAGACCACAACACAAGGGGTTTAACCATTTCTCAGGAATGCATGTATACATGTAATTCCACTGTGTGGAGCTTCCTTAATGGACTGTGTCTATGTCTGCATCCAGAGAAACAGCACAAAAGTGTAAGATTTCCAGCTGCATCCTGCACTGCTGTCACAGTTATTCCTCAGCACATCTGCTAAGCTCATCTGAAAAAATATCTGGATGTTGGCTCTAGTGCTATGGCAGTTTACTTCCTGCAATGAGCAAGACGGTTTCTGCCATGTTGCTTGTGTAATCCACTTCGACACTAGGTGCAAAATGCCAGCACGTTTTAAGCCATCTCAACAAGTGTGAACAAAATATCTGGCCCTGTGTGGCCCTGTAACTGGTTCACACCGGTTCTTCAGGATTGGCTTTCCAGTCTTGTCTCTGGGATATGCACTCCTAACAGCCAGGGTGGCTTTCAGGCTTCATTCAGTCTAACTTTGCAATGCAACTTGACTTCCCATAACCTTTATTCTTTGCCTGGGGCGGCTGTACGGAGCCCCTTCCTGCATGGCAGGTACACTGGGTCACTGGAAGAGCCCGGCAAGGTTCAGGCTGGCAACACAGCCTTTGCTTATGGAGGGAGAGTCTTCTCCCCAACCTCCTGCCAGTGAGACTCTCTGAGTGATCGTTGTTGATATTTTAGAAAATCACCTGCTTCGCGTATGCAGTGGTTTATCTGACTGGACTGATTTCCCTGGGTGGGGATGCTGTACTTTGATAAACTGGAAAAGGATGAAATAAATAGGTGTTTTACCTTTGCCTGGTCTCAGCATTAGCATCTTCCTAAATGGGGAGAGCTGACCAGGAGATATTTTTGTGTCTCCTCATCTCTCAGCCCTGTTCTCACACTTGCAGCTAGCTTCAAGGTGCGGGACTTTGCAGAGAGCACATTGTGGCTTGCATTGGTTAGCCCGAGTTCAGTCACCCAAAACCTTGCAGGTCTATTTTGAAACATTATTCAATCTGTCCACTATGGAGTTTCTTTTTTTTTTTTTTTTTTCTCTTGCTTCTGACATCATTTCCTGAACACTATATTCGCTGAGATCTGTAGCCAGATCGTCTTCTCAGCATATGATGCAAGGAGCTCTTTAAAATGGATTTCAGCCCTCCTTTTACTCTGCTGTGCTTGCTGGTGATAATAACTGTTACTCATGGTAAGTTGGATTTTTCTTTTATGAAGTTGGCACAGATTTGCCTAGATGAGCAGACACCTTAATTTTGCTCCGAGATCTTTTAAGGATTTTACTAGGTCTGGGGAGACATCAAATAGTGTAACTGCTAAAGCATGAAAGGGGCAGTCAGACCAAAGTAAGACAGATTATTTTTTTAGTAAACAATTGATATCTAACAATATAGTACTTTCTCAGTGTACTGCATCTGTAAAAGCATTTCGGCAGAGAACGTAAGGTCCTTGTACGCAGAATGCTGGCTGGAGGGGCTTGAGATCAACGTGGTCATGCTCCTAATGCTCACTGTGACCTTGAGTTGGTCCCCGAGCTGCTGTCACCCTGCCATTTACCCATCTCTGATTTGCGTACGGCAACTTAATAACGTGCAAGAATACTGTGAGACCTGTTCATGTTAAAACTGCGACCTTACTCTGTGGGTAGAAGCAGCTGTGCAGGCAGCAGTAGTTTTTGCTACCCACAGTATGAGATCCATGGCGTTGATGCCCTAAGGATCTTTCTTTGCACAGTCTCTCAGCTCTGAGGGAGGGTGGTAGATGGTCATGTCAAATTTGGGGAGAGAAAAGAGCAGTTGCTCAGCTTTTCGTCACCCTGTGTGCATGGTGTGCGCACCACTCCCGTGTTATCAGGGGGGAAAGTTGGCCTTTACAGAAGGCTTCCCACTCCTCTGATTTTCAATTGCTGGTGACCCCAGCCTGTCACAGGGGGTGGGTCTGTCCCTCTTAGATCTCACCTGGGCATTTGCCTTTCTGGGAGGCAGCTGCAAGGGGATGGATGGACACGGCAAGCTTGCTGCCCACACTCTCTCTGCCTCTCCTTTCAGGCTCTGCCACCTGGACTGGTGTGCTCAGCGGCGGCTCAGGAGTCTTTTCTGTGGGAAATCAAAGTCTGCATAACCTCTCCAGAATGAGCAAGAGGGGTGCGAGATGCTGGACAACTGTCTATAATGATACTTTGTTGGCTGACTGCGGCACTTCTACCGGCAGATGCCTGAACTGGCAGAATGGCTCCCTAGTGCTGAGGAGTGTGGAGAAAGAGGATGAAGGAGAATATGAGTTTTTTTTTCACAACGCCACTGAATTATTCACACTGGAAGTATTTGGTAAGTGGCCTTCTTAGCAACAAATAGCTTTTCAACTTGTGAGCCTGGCTGGAAGCTGGTGCCTTGAAATTCTTCCTTAGAGATGGTTTGAGTTTGGAGGAGCGATAGGTGCCTCTGGAACAGCTTTGTAGGCCTCTGCAGTAAGCAGTAATGGTGAGTGTAAACTACGAGATGCTTTTTGCATCCATGCTGTCAGTCTCTCCTGTTTGTTGAGCCTTTCTTGAAATAGCCAGTCAGTTTTGCTACGTGCTATTTTGCCCTGATGTAAGAGACAGTAGCATGAAGTGTTTGCAAAGTTGATCTACATGTGGCTGGAGATTTCAGTCCATTTCCAGAGTGCTCTTCCTCATGGCTCTCGTGAAAGCTCTTACTGACTGACAGCATTTTGCTGCCTGTGGACGTGCTTCTGTCAGGAGTTAATCCTACCTGATGTGGCTCTGGAAAGTGAACTAGACTTCTGTGCAGGTTTGGGTTCAGGCATGCTGGGTTCTCCCCCTGCTTCATGCAGCTGAGGAAAGGTACTAAAGGAATCCAGGTGTGACTTTCCGATTCTTACCTGCCCCCAAGCAGCTTGGAGATCAGCATCTTCTGGGTGTGTTCAGAGACGCGCGATAGGTGCCTTCCCGTGCCAGTCTCCCTGCTGTCCTCCCTGCAGCTTCAGAATTGCCTCTGCCCTTCGTGTGCCTGCTCATCCATCTACAGGGTGAGAAGACAGAAGCAAAGTCGCTTCTGTACAGGATCCAGCTCATTGCTTGGCTTAATATGGGGAAGGCTTAAATGGGTTTGCCCCCCTGCTGAATAGTGCTCCAGACAGCTGGCGACCATTGCTCTGGTCCTCGTCTGCACCGTTCCTTTTGCAGGGCTTTCACTTACACAGGCTTCTAAGAGAAATTGAAGCTTATGAAAATATAATGAAAATGTCTGAGCAAACTGGTCTCGGTGAAGACAAATGAATCCTTACACCTTTCAGGTGCAAACAGGCGGAACTGCCATGGAGAATAGGTCAAAGATGTGACTCCTTGGTACAAAGATCAAGGGCTTAGACTGGCAGTAGACAAAGACTGCAGAAGTGTCCTGGGTTTAACCTCCATTTCAGTGGATTTGCTTTAGGAACTTTTGCCTCTTCCTCCTGTTCTGTTGCCACACCTAAGTCAGGGAAACAGTTTCACAGCAGAGGTATTCCTGGAGGCAGTGACTTTTAGCTGAAGGTGATGTCCTAGTTGAAAGTGATTTCTGAGCTTATTTGCGTGGATGTTTGGATAAACATTCTCAGTGTGACTCTTACTATCATAAAACTATACCACTTCTCTGTCTAGCCTTTATTTGCAAAGTGGCAACTGTAGGAAATAGATTGGCTCCTTGTAGTGGACCAAAAGGTATTTAGGAAAATGTAGTAAGATCAGTGATTTTGTTACTTCATTTTAAATTGTCCTGGTGTGGGTTATCCTATCTAACTGCAGGTGTCTGGTGTTGGTACCTATGTCAGGCGTGATTTGTACTAGTTCCTCTCTAAAATGGAAGAATAGGCAGAGTAGAGTGACAGCAAAACTACAAACCTCTGGTGTAGGAGAGGGCTGAGTCTTCTCTGATGCTATGGTTATCTGCTGATTACAGAGGAAGCATCTGGCCGGCAGATGGTTTGAGTCTTTCCACTGTCCTCTCAAATCAGGGATTTTTATTTTTCACTTTTCCAGTTTCACTAAGGAAAATGAAGAGATGTCAGATTTTGGTGGCATCCCCAAAATAGGGACCAAGAGCTACTAGCAGGGCAGGTGGGCACTGCTAAGCATTTCAGGGCTGAGGACAGGCACTGCGTCTGATTACTCATTTCTGTGCTCCCTGGCTATCAGTAAATGCAGTGGTGTAGCAAGACTGCCAGTAAGGGAAGAATATTTCCAGCTCATGTTCACTGCCGAGTCCCCTCCTCACCTCTCTTTTCCCTTGCTGTTCCCATTGCCTCGTGCTGTGCGTGACCAGAGCTGGCTGTTGGTATCCAGTGCTTCCCTAATGGGACTGGAGAGTTGTCCTGTGACGTGACCAGCAACAAGAGCATCAGCGTTCAGTGGCTGCTGAACGGCACCGTGCTGAGCATCCCCGAGGCTTGCATTAAGGATGGTGGGAAGAAGGTTCGCCTGGACAAAACCGTGCCTGGGGAATTTGTATGTGAGGTGTACCACGGGACCAGCATCACGAGGACAAGGCCCATTGTGCTGTCTTGCAGCTATGGTGAGTAACAGCCTCTCCAGAAAATCTCCCTTTTGGTCTCTTGCAGCAGAAAACTAAGGAGTTGTTGCTGTCTGCGTAATACCAAACTCTTCTGTCCTCTGGCAGCTGCTTTCCAGACTTACCACATCCTCCCTTTAGAAAGTGTCCCCTTAACTTCCTTCTCCCTCCTGTGTCTGGGACTGACACAGCCTACAACCACAGAAGGGCCGAAAGTTTGTTCAGGAGGTCCTTTTACTCAGCTCTGCAGCAAGGATGGGTCTCTGTCTGTCCATTTTCCTACTTCCCAGTGATGGAGACCTTGTACCTTCCTACATCGATCCTCTCTGCTGATTTAGGAGGAGAAGCTGCTCCTACTCTGACATTCATCCGTTGCCCAGATGACTTTACAATTTCTGCAACATCCTCCTAAAAACACCTCTGCTAGTTCAGCCCTGTTGCTGCTGGAATCTGCTGAGGTGTTTTTTGCCTTGTCCCTTTCCTCCTTATCTATGGCAGCTGCACAAAGATTTACCTGTCTATACAAAGGTCTCTCTGTCAGCCCCACACCGTCAGAGGCGGGGAAAAGACACAAGTCATTTACTTATGAAATATAGGGGGTTTATCCCTCCATACCCCTGCTCAGTTATGTAGTTCTGTGAGAAGGCTGTGACTTTATCCATTTGCAAGCTATCCATAAATGCTGAGTACTCTGCTTAGATGAGGCCATAGTTTAATGAGACAGATTCTACGACTGATCAAAAACTGCCAGAACCTCATGATGCTAAGCACTGGTCTGTGTTGTAAGCTCAAATTTACGAAAAAAAAAAAAAATTGATAAGATAACCATGAGTGTGTTTTCACTTGCATCTCCAGTAGTAAAGGTTTTTTTTCCTCTCTAGCGGTGAAGATGGTCATCAAAACTACATCAGGGTGGCATAATGGAACCATAAGGTTTTTGACTAATTTAGTTCTAATTAATTTAATCACTTTTGCTACTAGAGAAACTGTATTGTGCAATAGCACCTAGCATTTTAGAAATTAGGTCTGAGATGTTCCAGCTCTACAGCAGATACTGTCTTGTCTTCTATGGTTGGCATATGGTTGGTGTGAAAGCAAAATTACTGACATAAACCCCGTGTCATGTGTGCTGGCACTCAACAGAAAGGCTGTGGGCTGTTTGTGCCTGACAGTGTTGTCACCACTGGCCAAGCTGTACAAGTTTGGCATTTGTGATTGTGGAGCAGTGATCTTAATTTTGTCCAGTTAAATTGGTCAGAGATTGTTCAGCGTAGCTAGACCCAAGTCGGCTGAGACACAGGGGGGTGAGGATGCGAACATCCATGAGCTGATCCATCAAGCCCTGTGATAAATCACGCGAGTGCTGACAGTTACCACTGTTTATTCTGGGTGGCTGCCCAGTCCCCTGGGTGTGATATCGGTTCCCCATTTCCTCCTGAGAAGCCCACAGGGGAATTTAGCGATAGCCCTGTTGGGGTGGACACGTGCATGAACATGTATTTGGAGGGTCTGAGAGCAAAAAAGTGGCAGCGATTCTACTTTTTAGTCACCAAATGCAGCTACGTTTGTAAAATGTGAACTATAGCAGTTCTGAATACTAGTAAAATGATTTGAAGAGATGAGTTCAGTTAAATTAATTAAAGACTAATTCATTATTTTTGTGGGTTATTATTTGGAAAAGGGCTGAATATAGGTTTTTGACTGTAGGTATAAGTTCTATGTAAAAGCACCTGTTTGAGCAACCTGTTGGCTGATGAAATTAATTTTGAATAATTAATAGCGTAAAGCAACTTGACAGAAATACTGTAAACTTCCCAGGCACCAAAGGGCTCTGATCACGCAGGATCTAAAGCAGAGGATTCAGAAATTAACAAGTCAACATATGTAGAAGGCTTGTATTGATTCATTACTTATTTTATTACTTGTTTGTTACCGTTTTTTAACAAAATATTTCATCTCAAAAAGACCTTTTTAACAAATGGCAAGTTTTCAGGAAAAGCTCTTCAGGAATAAATATTTCCAACATATATTTATGTCTTTGATAATGTTCTCTAAGCTTTCATCAAAAAGAAAAAAAAAAATTAGGGAAATGATTTCTCATTTGCCAAAAGATTAATTCTGAATATAGACATTTTGAATGTGGTAACTCTTCCTAAAGAGACTGGAACAAGCACTCTGAGAATACTTCGAGTATGTGTGATTTCACACACAGGAGTGCCTACCTGCAGTTGTTTTTACTGTTCTGGTGAGTACGTGGGCTATGACAGCGTGTAGTATATCCTGGAATGTTTGAAACCCTTCCCAGCCTCTGGGGATATTCAGCAATTTGTGCGTCTGGGGTCTCAAAACCAAGCTCCAAAGGATCCCGCTGGTTTCCCCAGTGCGGCGCAGTGCAGGCATGCGGACAGACCAAATAGTTCAAAAAGGGATGGCTTGGGTTTACCTGAGGAGTTTTAAGGAAATTCTATTATAGAGATAGTTGAGCTGTATGCTTTATTCATATTGGGAAGAAGAGTTTTCCCACTGGCTACCCCAGGTTGGAGCAAATTGTGTCAGTGAAGGAGTGAGTCTGGACAGGTCTCTCTTTTCTGCAAGTCTGAGATGCCCTCTTCCAGCTTCCCTGCTCAGCAGCAGCGTACATTCAAGTCTGACCCGCCAAAGCAACCCTGAGCACTGAACTGGGTAATAATTACCACTGACTTCTGTGTGGCCTTCTGCTCAGCCATCTGCAGCCGTCGCCTCCTGCTAGGCGTTTCACACGGTCTCGGTTGGGAAGGGGAATAAAGAGAAATCCTTCCCTGAGCAGCAGTGAAGCCGGTTTCCTACAGCTCTGACTGGGGTGGCTGGTCTCTGGTGCCTGAGGAAGTGCAGGCTCTGATCAGGCTTGCTTTGAGGTTGGCGTAGTCATTATATAGCTGTCCTAAGTGAATTATCTGGGGCCCCGTACGAGCTCTGAGGGTACTCTGCAGGTTTTCTTTCAGCAGGAGATGCTAGCTTACCCTCACTTACCCTCTTCTTCTCAGCTGCCTGTTTTCATAAAACTTGTTGAAATGCAGTATCTTTCAAACCACCACCTTCCCTGTTAGATTGGATTAAAATTTAGAAATTCTCTTAGATGTTACTGGTCAGAGTAGGCAGAAACAAATGCACACAGCATAGTCATACAGGGCTTTCTTCTTCACGAAAAGTTCCATACCACAATTAAATGATGTGACATAAATTACGATGTGCCACAGTTCATAATACCAGCTCCCCTGATCCAAATCAAACCAAAGCAATAATAATGCCCACATGCTCTAATCTGTCTGCAGGGTTTCTCCCGTTTGGAGAAAGCAGCTTTTCCACCCTGGTAACTAACAGTGCCCTGTCCTCCTTGCAGGAGACCTGCTGCAGCACCCGTGGTTCATTTACATCCTGGCAGGCTGTGCAGGGGGTGCAGTTATCCTGGTGGTGATTGTGTCCTCAGTCATATGTTGCTGCATGAAGAGGAAACCCAAGTTCATCCCAGTGCCTTCAGGTGAGCGGAGAACACTGTTGCTCTCTGGGATGAGTCTCGCAGAGGGCTCTGTGTGTGGAGGCTGGGGTTGAAATGGCCTCAGGTTTGTGGCTGCTCATCTTCCAGCCAGCCCTCCCTTGATGCGGTGGAGCAAAAAGCTGCTTGCTGACAGGCAGCTGTTAAAACCAGCAGGGTCTTGAATTAAACCTTGCTTTTGCTTTTTTTCACCTCATGCTTGCCACCGTGTGCTCCTGGCCAGAAACAAACACAGAAAAACCTTTTCTATGGGCAAGAAAGCTGAGCCTCATTCAGGTCTGATCCTGAAAAGACCTGATGGCTTTTGATGGCCGTCCTTTGTCAGCACAGGTCCCTGAGTGCAATCTGCCCATGCCCAGCGAGGCCACCTCAAGCTGTGATCCTGCTGCCGTGGCCAAGCTGGTCTCTGACAGGTTGGCAGTGGCCCTCCGTACTCGGCATCTGTCTGCTCCAGGAATGGAGCCAGTGCCACATGAAGAGGAGACGCACGCACGCGTTGGTGGTCTGACCTTGCAGCCAGTGTGCCCAAGCTGCTGGGATGTGGGGGACCTCTTTCCTTCGAGTCTCTGGTTTTGGTTTTACAGAGGAGGAGAAGGATGATGGACTTACAATGTCCGTGGTCTCCAGTGAAGGTGTGAAGAGCCCCCCCAATGGAGACCGTGTCGAGGCTCAAGCTGCCCAGATCGACTGCCCTTCAAAGCCTGGTGGGTCCAGTGGCTTGTTTTAAGTCAGACAGATAGCCTGGTTTAGGAGGGTGAAGGACAAAATGGATGCTGGTGACTGATGGGGGAGCAGCTGACTGGAGGGAGGGACCTGGGACTCGCTAGTGCAGGGAAGGTGCTGCATCTTGTCTAGATGACAGAAGTTGCAGCACATCATTTATCAGTCCCTTACTTGTGCTCGGCTTCTGCACAGGAGTAGCTCTTGCCCTCATTTAGCCATGAGATGTAGCGGCAGCCATCTCATAAGCATCCCGCAGAGGGTACTGCCAGCAGACTGCAGGCTGTCTGTTCCAGTATTTCCTGTGCTAAAATACACATCTCTCAAAAACAGCAACCCCTCCAAATGTAGCAGTTTTCCTGCAATTTTATCCCCCCTCTCCTTCCCCCCCCCCCCCCCCCCTCCCCCCCGCCTTTCTCATCAGTAACATTTTATAAGAATCAACATCGGTTTTGTAAGCAGTCGTCTTCAGGACAGCATGCACCATCCACCAATATGCTGAACTGCAAACACAGCTAAATCCCATCGAAGTCAGAGGCTTGTGTATTTCCTTAAATTGGTGATAAATTAGGAATACAGTCCCATTTTAAATCCTTTGGAGAAATTGAGAATAAAACGCCACAGCTTTAGCACATGTGGCCAAAACAGTGCAGCGCTAAAAACCTTGCAGAAATCTTTTGTGAGTGCTTGATATTAATGCTCCACTTTTTGCATTGTGTTTCCCTCAATTTTGTTTCACAAACATGAATGCTAGCAACATCTTCCCTAGTAATTCACCATCTTCAGCTGAAGCAGGTCCAGCAGCAACATCAAGAACTAGACCAATATCACATAGGTCACAGCCTGGTCTCAGCACTGCTGTCTCCACTTCTGGTATCCTTCACTGTACCACGCACAGCCTCTCAGCAGCTCAGCTATGCTTTATGTCTAACCTTGGATGTTGTTTTGCCCTCCTTTAAAAATATTAATTGCTACTCATGATCATAGTGTAAGAAAGAAAAAAAAAAGTAATCCAGGTCATTGTTTAATATTAATATACTTAAAGTGTATAATTTTATTTTTAATAAAAAAATTTCCACATTGTGAGTTTGACTAACAAAATTTCTACAGATAACTAAAAAGCAGAGATGCATGTGGAAAGTGTTTAGGTGAGAACATATTAAATGTGTGCTGTTAGCTTTAATTACTCAGATGTGACTGAATAGGTTTTGCTTTGGTATTCTGGCACATTTTGGGCAGTTTTGCCCAGAGAGCTTCAGCAACAAAGTGTTTTACAACCAAAGCCGCGATGAACTGCTCAATAAATGAATAAATTTGTCTTGCAGACTCCTGGGGAGAGGGGATTGAGCACGTTAGGCAGCCTGCAGCATCAGGGACTGGGGTGAAGATTTCCGTGGGAGGTGAGCATAGTGTGGGCACTTACAAACCATTTCTCCTTTCTTTTCCAGACGCTGCCCAGACTGGTCAAGGCACTGAGCCCCCACCCCCCATGGAGGAAAATTTACCAGTGGAGATAGAGCCTGAGGAAATGCCAGACCCAGAAGTCACAGTTGATGTGGAAAGCCAGAAAAATGCCTCGGACTGTTTCCCAGATCCAATTGATGACTGATCTGGCATGCTTGCTGTTCCACCCTCTCTTGAAGTCTATGACACCCATCCTTTGCATCCCATAGCCTCATTGTGTGTAAGAATCAGTCTAAAAAATTTTAGCGGGGGGAAGATGTGAGGTGTCAGGCCTGCTAACCTCATTTAAAAAAGAAAAAAAAAAAAAAGAAAATATAAGAAAAAGCACATGCATGGCTTCAAGGCCACGCTGCCGTGGGCTGACAGGTTCACTAAGAAACCAAACTGGGCAGCTCTTCATGCTTTGCCTGTCGATAGACCTGCAGTTAACCTGTGGAGCCCTGGAGGACAGCCTGAGATGAGATGGGCTGTTCCTCCTGCTCCCTGCCCACCCCGCGCCTTGCCACGTCTTTGCCAGCCAGCGGTTCCTGCAAGCGGCCGGCGTGACAGGCGGGTTGAGGTGGCCTGCCAGTCCCAGGCAGAAACAAGGACCTGCCAGAAGTTTCCTGAGAAAGCCTCCTCTCAGGAGATTTCGAGGCATTCTTCACAGGCCCTGCAAAAAAAGCTCCAGGGAAGTTTCAGCTACGTATCTGCTGTGCCGGGTGTTTATCTGAATCGCTTCTCTGAGCTCCGGACCCTTAGTGATTTGGCCCTCACTGCTCGCTGCGTGGGGCCAGGAGTGGTGGCGGGGGCTGCTGCGTGCAGGCCCCGGGAGGTGATGTTGGCTTGCTTGCCTTTCGATGATGCCCTGTAGTGGCAGGGGGCTACCAGTTACCTTTCGCCAGAACCTGACCCAGGTTGCCAGTGAGTTAAAGCAGCTCTGTCACTAGCTTGCTTGCTTGCAGCAGAAGGGTGCCTGGGGCTTGGGTGTGTAATTTTGGCAGAAACATTGATTGTAATGCTGAGATCATTCATCAGTGCAAGCATTAGTGCCTTTAGTGTAATGGTTTAGCTCCTGCAAGCTGCTTGAGCTGGCCATCTGCCTGTGCATGTAGGCTTTTTCAGTGCTGTGTTATTTGCACAGGCAGCAGCAATTTATAGAATCTCTTAGGCAAGTCTTGCTGCTACGCACGTCCTGTTCTGCTCAGGGGAGGTTTGCCAGTGGAGCAGCTGGGGGTAGGCCTGCAGGGAAGAAGGATGAGGTGAGGAGAGGGCAAGGACTCGGTCCCAGGCATCAGGTAGCCAGGGGCTGCAGGGCTGTCAGGCCACAGGGGGTGATGCCAGAGCAAGGTATTTACTGCCTAAGTGCATTTTGGTGGTCAGAAGCGAGGCATGTTGGTGTTAAATTAGCCCAAAGGGCTAGAAAGGCACGGTAGAGTAAAAGCAGAGATGGTACAGATCGGGGCTGAAAGGGATGGGGATGTGTATTGCATTCCTCTCTTCCATTGCCATTTTGTCCCTGTTTTATATTGTGCTGATATTGTGCCATGAGCCCCTTAGAAACAGATTTAAGGTATGCCTTGTAAATGCCACCCAGCGAGGTCTGCAAGCACCCCAGCAGAATCAAAACTGAGCTGAGTGCTTTTTCCCCAGGCGGGGGAGCTGCCGGGGTGGCTGCACACCTACCTGGAACTCCTTCATGTCCGTGTACATGGCAGAGCGCTGCATCGGTGACACCCAGCCATAGGTGGTCGCTCTTGTTGTTTCCTTGTCCTGTGACTCTGTTTAGAAGATTTTTGGATCTTGTGTGCTGTATTGGTGGTGATTCAGCCTGTCTCTTGCTTTTTAAGGCTGCCGTAGGAATCAGATTTTCCACGGTAAGAGGGAGATAATAATTCTTTTCCTCATGGTGCTGCGCTATCTCCTTTCAGTATAAACATTCCTCAAAGGCTGTGAGTGGACTGACAGAAACGTGACACGGAGCGCGTGGGGTGGCAGCTGCCTGTAGGCAGCACGGCGGCAGCGACGCTGGGTGAGCTGGTGCCAGCATCACTGAAATGGGGGGACGTTGTCAGCTTTGCTTCTCTTCTGTGCTTTCTGGCAGGGGCAGGCAGGGGACAGTCGACTCCAGTACATGCTTCAAAGGCTGAACGGTGCTGGAGAGGATGCCAGCTTTTCAGGTGCTGAGGGTGACAGAGCTGGGCCAGCATTGTCCTGCTGGGCTGGTACATCCCGGCTCCAGCTTGCCCAAGCACTGCCTTGCTGCTGTCAGCACTGGGAGGGCTGGGGGTGCCCTGGCAGCCTTTAGCCCCGTCACTGGTGTAACCCCAGGCTGAGAAGGATTTTTCCCATTGAGATCGAGCCATCCTTACAAGGCAGACAGGACACGTCTGGTTTTCTGTCCTTCCCTGCTGAAAGTGCCATTCAGCAATGGGGCAAAGGTTTCTGTTACTGTGAGGTCAGGAGAGAAGTTGTGCAGCCTGTGCTCTTCCTTTAGCTGCATGTGTTCGTGCCCTGCTATTGTTCTTTTTTGGTGTTTGGTTTTGTTTTTTTTTTTTTTTTTCCTTTTCCCTGCAATGATTTTGTTCCTAATAAAAAGATCTGTTTTCTAACTTGTTTTGGAAATGTTTAAATTCTGTTATTTAACAATTGTTTCTTTATGGCTTTCACTGAAAGTACAGACTGGTTTCCAGATTTTCACCCAGCCAAATAAAGGAAAGGCGATAACGAGCTACCGCTGACTGACTTGGGTAGTCCAGGGAACAGAGATCACAGAGACGTTCATTTGTAAGTCAGTCCAGGGGAGGCTGTAGGACAGTGGCACATAACTAGTCCCCATCGGAGTGTGTGCGCTAATGTGCCTGCACATCCGTGTGCACCAGCAGCTCACCAAGCCCTGCGCTGGCACCTTGCCCGAGCTGTGAGGTGCAGGGGAGGTATGCAGGGAGGTGGTCTTGTTTTACCCACCTTATCCGTCTGTATGTTTTTGTAACACCTAAGCCACCTTGGCTGTGAGAGAGGATGCTTGACTGCATAGTTCCTTTTGCAAGGAGGTGGTGACTCTCTCATGCTCACCCTCAGACAAGTGTGCCCAGACGATGGGTAAAACAAGGTCCTGATGGTTTGTGATGGTATAAAATCCCTTGGCCTTACCATTACAGGGTTAGCCCTGGACCAGTGGTGTGACTGGACATGGGTGATCCTGTCCTGCAGCCTGTCAGCCCAGCAGCCCGAGGAGCCACTCGCCTGAATTTGCAGTTGGTTTCCAGCCTGACTATGGCACTGCATCACCCAGGCCATAGTGAGGATACTGTTGGGACCGGGGCTATCTGGCAGAGTCATGGGTATGGATGTACATGGGTCTACCAGGAATTTGGCTAGAAACAGAGACGTCTGTGCTGCTCCTTCAGGGTTTCTGGTGGCCTTGGTGAGGCTGTGCAGTGCCAACCCTACCCTCCCCGGGTTGCTGAGGGAGTCCTTGGTGCTGGGGTGCCTCTGACCTCCTGTGGGGAGCTGGTGCTTTCCAGGGGAGGGGAGCCACATGGAGAGCTGCCAGTCACGCCGTCCTCTCTGGCCACTGGTCCTGGCCAGGGAAGGCTGGGAGGTAGGGCAGGGTCCATCCTTCCGCTCATCGAGTACTGGTGGGACAAGGGCAGCTCTGCTCTGTGGGGAGTGCAGGTGTTGTGGGATGTGGTTTCTTCCCAGCTCAGATTAATCACCAGTAGTTTACAGTACTGTACGGAATGGACGTTTAGATTTGTATCCATGTCGGTGTTTCATGGTGGGGAGAGAAAAATTACCCTCTGCCTGTGGCTTATATTAATCAACAAACGACATGAAATGTAATACGTAGTCTTTTCATCATGTAATTCATGCTGTTTATGAGTATAAAAGGAGAACAGAGAATGATCTTACTTGATTTAAGATATAGGTGAAACCAAAAGCAGAAAAGAAACGTTGTATAACAGCCAGCAGAGAAAGGGGAATGATCCCTTTACATTTTTTTAGCATTCAGGGTGAACTCATCCCCACAAAATTCTCACGTCAGTAAAGCTCTCCATCCCAGCAATGCAACAGTTTGTGCTCTGCTTTCCAACCTCTACCCCAGGCTGCCATGCCTGTTGTCCCCGTGACTGTGTACGTAGCCCTTGGGGCCCCCCCTCGGAGCCCAGCACGGGGGCAGAGGCAGCAGTCTGTGGGGAGCCAGAGGACCAGCCCTCCCCGCTGCCATCAGCTCTACCGAAACTACAGGGTAGAAGTTGGTGAGTCTGAGAGCAGATAGACACAAGTGGTAAGGGGCCAGCTTACTATAGCAAATGAAATGTTTGCTGTAAATACTGAAGAGGCATGAAAGCAGTGGTTGTGGTAGCTGCTGATGAAATCCTCGGTGTTGTTGAAAAATACCTCTATATTTCAGGCATGTGCGTAGTAAGTTCGTGTCACTTTTTATGAATTACTGCAATCCATTTCAAAATAAGCAGACAAGAAGAGTTCACGCGTAATTCAGCTGTAGGATACTGTGTCACTGATAGATATCTTCAAAACCATTTCCTTAACATTAGTCAACAAATTCTGGTGGTGCTATAGATCCAGAAGTGGAGGTGTTACTACCACCAGGTGGGAAGGAGTGAGGTGGACTTGCATGGGTGAACACACAGAACCAGTAACAAAAGTGGGCAAGAAGAGCAGCATCACCTCTGTCTGTTTGAGATGGAAGCAGAATTTGGTGACGTGTCATGGCAGAGGCTTGGATTAGTGCTTGGGTATTGCTTGTGCCTTTGGACAGGCTGCTCAGTGCCTGGGTGCCATCAAACCCTCGGCCTGTACGAGGCTAGCGGTGGTGAAGTCCCTCCTGAGCATATGCAATGCGGCCCTCTCGTCCTCTGTTGTAAAACAGGCTGGGAAACAACATCACCACCCAGCAGGGACCCTGTGACATTTGACAACTAGCGACTGCATCCTGCATTGGTTTTGTTCACAATGAGCGTTGCGTTTCCTTTCTGCACAATTACATGACTCATCTCACAGTCAGAGGTTGTGGCTGGAGATAGCAGGGGAGGCTTTGCTGAGAACGTGGAAGGCCCTTAGACAAAGCCCTTCTAAATATTTTTACTTTTCCAGCAAGCAAATGGTGGCAGGTGTTGTATAATTATATCAAGATTAATTTAACTTGGATAGAATCAGTTGAGAGACGTCCCTGGGCTGTGCAGGACCACTGGGAAGTGCGGCATCTTTCTGGCTGGCCTTGCTCAGATGCCACTTGTGTGGCTCCAGGCTGGCTGACGGGCTGAAGTGGAGCTCTTGGCCAGCTCTGGGACTGAGGGACTCTTACCTCCAGCCCTTTTGATCACCAGCAAGCAACATGGCTGAATCACATGGCCAGCCACTATTGATAGGGACTAAAGAAACTGTTCCCTGCCTGTACCAAAGCAGACTGCCTGGAGGGCAAAGGATGTTTAATGATAAGGAAGGTGGGGGGTGAGACAGACACACCTCCATAAAGTGTTCAAATATGGCTAAACCCCTCAGGAGCTGGATAGCAGTTACATTCAAGTAGCATGTGAAGAGCCCAGAGCAGTTCTGCCAGTGCACGCTGACAGCATCACTGGCATCTTCATGAAGGTATTTCCCACCTCGGCCGGGAGTTGGGATTTCGGCCCCAAGCAGCATCTCGTCCCTGGGGTTCCCCCACTCTCCCATCAGCCATGAGGGCACGAGGGGCCTGACTTCATCGAACTGTTCGTTAACCTTGCAAGTTTAGGTACCTGACCATACCCCTCACCTCTTAGCGCACCTACAAATGTGTGTTTGGCAGCTTGGTTCCTGCCCCGGGAGCTTACGTTGCCATCTTCTCCGGCCTGCCACCTCCCGTCGCCTTCCAGCTGTGCTCAGAGAGGGGTCTGTCCGCCAGCACCGTGCCTCCCGGTCGCTTGGGGAGCTGGTTTGGATCTGCTGGGCTGTGACCGGGGATGCCTGGTGTCCCCGCTGGAGCTGACTGCGGGTCTGCAAGCGGTGAGGGGAGTGATTCGTGAGTCTTCCCTTCGCTCTTCCTGGGGTCCCTGTGGTCTGGAGGGGTGGGTGTTGTGAGGATGGGGCGAGTCGCTGCCTCCTGGGAGATGGGAATGCTTGGCCCGTGCCACTTGGTTTATGGGCATTTTGGGGCAGGGGCTGGTCCCGGCACACGGGGAGTCATCTGTAGTCTGCTCATGGTGCCGTGGTGCCAAACAGTAATGGTAAGGAAAAGTTCCTGTCTGTAGAGGTAGCAAGTATGGGTGGCTAATGTCAGCTTATTTTAAAATTATTTATTTTTCTAGTTAGCATATTCCATGTCACACTCAATATTCATGATAAAATATGGGATGGTGCTATAGTATAAAGTGTGTATTTTATAGTTGATACTGGAAATGAGGGAAAAGGCAAAACTTGGAACCTGAATTCTATGCAGAATTTTTAAAACTCACCTAAACTGGTGATAACAACTGATAGTTTTAGTATTGTCTTACACTGTAGAAACTAGAGGTATTACAGACCCAGACTTACTTGGAGGCGACTTTCAGCAAATCTTTTGGAATTGCAAATACAGTACATTAAAGAGAATTATTATCTGCTCCCTTACCATATGCAAATGGAATAAAGAAATACAGTTTGGTGGCTGTCCTCTTGCCAGCATTGCTGTCTCAACTTTGGTTTATACAAGTCCCTCTTTGAAGGCAAAATGTATTTTCCCAAAACTAAGGAGTGAAGCAGTTTTTAAAGGTGTTTTTTTTTTTTTTGTTTTTTTTTTTTTTTCTACTAAAAGTCATGTGACAAGTTCTCTTCAAACCAAAAAAAAAAAATGAAAGAAAAGGATGATGTGATGCTATTTGTGCCTATGTGAGAAGAATTGCAATAGTGTCTCTGAATGCTTGAAAGTCCTGTAGCAAAGAGCATTAAGAGCTTATGTTGCACTCCTGTGAAAGCTTTCGCTTGCAGACCTCGGAGATTTCCCCTGTGAAACAACAGACAAACCTACAGTTAGGGGATTCAGGACAGCAGGGATGGGGTTCAGCGGCGTGTGTGAACGGGTAGTCAGCTGCCTGGCAGTCAGTCTCAACTCACCTGGAGACGCCTACGGAGGCTGGGGCGGGTGGAGGCTTTTCCGAGGTGGCACAGGGAGCCTGGAGCAGGAGCTGCCTGCTGGGTGGGACAGCCTCTGCTGCCCGTCTCTCTGTCATCACAGGACAAACGGTGGCAGGACCGAGAGAGGAGGAGGAGGAGGAGGGGAAGGATGCAGAGAGCAGAGTGACCGCTGCGGAGGATCCGAGTGGAGGAAAGGGCACGGGCTTGCTGACTGAGGGTGCAGAAATGATAGTGAGTATCGGCAGTCGTAGATGCTGTTTCTTGCCTCAAATGGGTCTCAGGCAGGGTCTGTCCTCCATCATCCTGCAAACTCTCCAGGCAAAATACAAAAGGTTGTCCTCCAGAAGGTAGTAGTTGCTGCTCCTTCCTCCTCACGCCTGCTCTTCCTGACACTGGGTATGGATCGTGTTCCCCAGATGGATGCACTTCTCTCTGGGTGGTAGATCACAGCCCCCCTGAGCCCCTCTGGCGATGCTTAGCCTGGGGCACTGGG